GCCTGTAGTCCCAGCTACTCGGGAGGCTGAGGCAGGAGGATCGCTTGAGCCCAGGAGTTTGAGGTTGCTGTCAGCTAGGATGATGCCACGGCACTCTAGCCCGGGCAACACAGTGAGGCTCTGTCTCAAAAAAAAAAACAACCTTTTTGTAGGGAGGGAATCTCACTACGTTGCCCAGGCTGGTCTTGAACTCCCAGCCTCAAGTGATCATCCTGCCTCCCAAAGTGCCAGGGTTACAAGCACGAGCCATTGTACCTGGCCTATTTGTGTTTTCAGCTAAAAGTTATCACAAAAGAGTCCAAAAAAAATCAAAAGATTTAACAAGTTTATAAAATAAAAAAGTTGTAGTAAGCTAAGATTTATCGTTGAAGAAAAAAAATTTTTATATAAATTTAGTGTAGCCTAAGTGTACGGTATTTATAAAGTCTACAAAAATGTACAATAATGTCTTAGGTAGGCCTTCACATTCACTTACCACTCACTCACTGACTTACCCAGAGCAGCTTCTAGTCCTGGAGGCTCCATTCATGGTAAGTGCCCTATACAGGTGTACCAATTATCTTTTATATTGTATTTTTACTGTACCTTTTCTATGTTTAGATACACAAAGACTTACCATTGTGTTATAATTGCCTACAGTATTCAGTACAGTAACATGTTACACAGGTGTGTAGTCTAGGAGCAACAGGCTATACTGTGCAGCCTAGGTGTGTAGTAGGCCATACCATCTAGGTTTGTGTAAGTGCGCTCTAGGAGGTTCGCAGAACAAAATTGCCTAATGACCCCTTTCTCAGAACATACCCTATGGTTAAGCGACACATGGCTATACAGTCAAGAACAAAACAACTCTGAGAGATTACTTAAGATGTCCGAGCTCACAGGGTTAGTGTGAGGGCACCACCATTTGAGTCCTGGTTGGTCTGATTCCAAAACTCACACAAACCCTTTCAGCTCCAGGTAGCAGGAAACAACATTTACAGTCTTGCATGGAATAGTGTTTGTTAATCTTGGGATCCCGACTTAACTGCTTCCAAATAAAACAAAGGCAAAGGCTGAGGCTGTCATTTAAGCCAAAATTCCATCTAGGGCTCTGCCATTATGGGGCACTGGCAGGGGGTCTGACTTCTATGCTCCTCAGCAGACTGCCCCAAAAGTCTGAGGTCGAGCCCTAGCATCCCGCCCTGCACTCCCCAACCCCCGCCATGCACGCACCTGTTTGAGATCCCCGCCACAAGTCTCTAGAGCTTTCTTGCAATTTACAAAGGAGTAGCCTGTTTTCCGCCGCAACTTCATGAGAAGTTCCTTGCTGGAGGCCGAGGAAGGCAGCGAGGTCCCAGCGTGAAATGTGTGCCGTAGCTGAGGCGACTGAAGCAAAAGGGACCCCGCCTGGAGGGGTTAAGAAAAAAAGGATGAGAAGTAGGAAGCAGCGGACTCTGGGGCGCGGTGGGCATGTCTGCAGTGAAGTGACCTAAGGGCTCGGGAAATGTGGAAAACGCAGCTCAGGGGGGCTGGACTGCGAGAGACAAAGCCGTCGGGGGAAGAGTGGGATGGAGTCGCTCGGGATCGGGGGAAGGGTATGCTCTAGGAACACAGGAGAGCTGCAAGAAAGGCAGGTCGATAACGGGGCCAGGACACCTCACCGGGCAACTCCTGGTCCGCGAGACCAGGCAGAGGCTCAATGACCGCAGCAGCGACATCTTTCTGGTCGCAGTACACTTCCGCCGGCTGGCACACCCGTGAAACGACAGACCTACGGCGGGGCGAAAGGACCAGAACTCTCCACCTGAACACACCAAACGAGGATAGCGCCACCTGCTGGTCAGAGGGACACAGTTGCTTCCTCTACTTGGTTTATTGAGACTATGCATTTCACATGGGAATTACCCCTCGCAGGTAAATAACGGAACGCAAGAAATAAAGTTGTCAAAAAACAATACAAGACATGTGGGTTACATTTTATGTTTCTTTATTTTCAATGCGCTTTTATATTTATTATCCATTTATGACTCATGACAAACTTGTGAGGTAGGTGGGTGGGTTCAGGAATTTGTCCAATATCAAATTGGACAGGAAAGTAGGGGTGGAATCCTTTCAACAAACCGAATAAATATTTGTTGAGTGAGAAAAATATTTTTTGAACACCTACTGTGTGCCAGGAACTGTGGGGATTAGAGATGAGTAAACCACAGCCCTATCCTCCAAAGTAATCTAATGGTGAGAAAATGAGGGTTATGTCCATGCAAGACAAAGTAAGTTCCCCTAAAATGAAAAAACAGTGAAAAAGTCTCAGGGAGATGGCTAGAGTGAAGTGGCATCACATTATAGCTCACTGTAGCCTCAAACTCCTGGGCTGGGCCAAAGTTATCTTCCTATCTCAGCTCCCAAGTACTTGGGACTACAAGTGCCTGCCACCATGCCTGGCCAAACAGCTTTTAAAAGCTCGTGTTGTATGACCTCAAGGTTGTTTACCTGGTCATTTCATGGTAATTATAAACTCTGATGGGCAGCTTTAGATTTCTTGACTAAAAACCTAAATAAACTGATTGAGTTATAGACATTCTTTCAAAGGAGTTCTCAGTGGAAAGATTGTGAACTATTCTGTCTGGTGCTTAGTGAAAATATTTTGAATTAATGTATTTATCAGTTATTGCCATTTCTTTATTCAAAAGTTTTTTGTCAAATAAATAGCAATTTTTCAATCTTAAAAAAAAAAGTCTCAGGGAGAAAAACTTACATCTAAGCAAGAGGCTCAGGAAAAGCTTTTTTCGGGAAAGAGGCAAAGAATAATGAAGATTTTGACAGGTAGAAGTAGCCCTTCCAAGCAGGGAATCATCATAAAGAATGGAGGAAGAAGTCAGGAAATTTTAGTGTGGATTTAGAGAACAGAGAATAGACTTTTTATAATTTGGCCAGAGGTCCAATTCATGTAGGAAAGGAGTAGGAAATGAAGTAGAAAGACAACTTGAGATCACATGGGATAGACTAAGTACCAAGCAGAGAAGCTTGTTTTTCTTCCATAGGCAGTAAAAGCTATTCAGAGCTGATTTCGGAAGCTCACAAGAGTTTGCAGAATAGCTTGAAGCAGAGAGAATGGCCGCAGAGAGTCCAGAGGAAGTGACTATGTGGCTATGCAGTGAGTAAAGAGAGCCCCGACCAGAGAAGCCACAGTGGGAAGAGAAAAGAGGTGAAGGCAAAACACATTAGGATGGAAGGACTGATAAAGCTTGGAAGTCTAAAGAAAAATCAAAGGTGAAAAGAACCTAGTACTCAGGCCAATGTTCTTCTGCACAAAATGATGTTCTGTAATCAGGGCTCCAACTCCAAGAAGGATGAAGAAGCTACAGTCCAAAGGGAAGATCTGCTGCCTATCCCCAGTTGCAGGGGTGGGAGGACTTCACCCAGTTAGAACCATGGTCCTGGCAGACCAGACTGTATTTCTGAAAGCAAGAAACAGGTAGTCTGAAGCTTCTTCCTCCTCAGTCCCTGGCAAAAACTGAGTTCTTTGGATGCAGAAGAGATTTTTAATGCTTATTTGTTGTCCTTTAGAAACATTCCACAGAATTTGGTTTTTTAAAAAGTCCATTCTGTATAAACAGACAGCACCAGGACTACAAGTGATCAGTGACAGTCTCTCTCCGCAGCCACTGCTCTCACAACCCACTCACTTCCCTTACCCCTAAAAATCCTGTATACTCTCCCATCTTCCTCCTCTGAGAACAGGAGCTGGGAACCTCCTTGGTGCTCTAACTCCAGTGCTGCCAGGGCTCTAGGATTCCTAGTAAGCGGGCATCTCCCTGTACCAGCCCAAGAGTATCTGGGGGAACAAAGAGGGAAAGAGGAAAAAGAGAGACCAGGGAAATCCATCCTTTCTGGTCTTTGTGTTTGTGGCTCTGTGGAATGGCTTTGAAGATGGGCACTTCCTTCATTAGGGCAAAAGGTTGAGAAGAACAGAAGGGGTGATGTCAAGCAGGTCTTGGTTCCCTGTGCCTGGCCCTATAAATGTTGACATTCTCATCCTCATATCGCTGGACCAGCTCCAGTTGGAAACGCTGGGGCAGGAAATGCTGAAAGAAGCTCTCTGTCCCATGCTCCTCTCTCATCGTGGAGGCCAGATAGATGGTGCCATGGGGCCCGCACAGATGTTGGAGGGTCCCCAGCAGCAGTGGGAAGGTGGGTTCCAGGTACACGATATCAGCCCCCAGCACCAGGTCATAGTCTCCAGGGAAGACATGCTGGTCAATCCCCCAGGACAAGGCCCGGACCTGGGCCTGGCCTCCAGCTGGCACATTGGCCTGGACGTTGCCCTGGATCTGTTCTAGGGCCAGAGGCAGGTCAGTGATGGTAACATCCCCCCCTGAGAGAGAGGAAGGAGGAGAAATGGAAGTCAGAGGGACCTTCTCTACCTGGAAGGTCCAGGAACCTCAGGGCATAAAGGACAATGTCTTGACAGCCAAAGCCCACACTGGTTTTTAGTTGTCCTAATTATCCTTTCACTCACTGCCATTCTCATTACTCTACATTCTACAACATCAACATTCTCTCTGAGCTAATCTTCAATCTCTGCCCCACACACAACAATCAGATGTCAGCAGAAGCCTGAGCAGGCCTCAGCTGTAGATGGGCTATGCACCCACCCCCACTGACACAAGCCCTCTGTAGGGGTCTGGAAAGCTTCCCAGAAGGCGTGACCTCAGCTGAGCTCTAAAGGACAAGTAGGAGTTAGTCAGGTGAAGCCTTTCCAAGAAAAGAACAGTGAGTACAAAGGCCTGGCAGTGAGAAAGCATGGCATATTCAATGAGGCTGGATCTTACAGGTTCTGGAAGGGGGAGAAAAGTGTCAAGATATGAGATGAGAGGAAAGTGATTATGACATGCTAAGGAGTCTCAGGTTTGATCTTGAGGGCAGTAAGTTTTAAGGGCAGAAGCAGGTGTAAAGATGATCAGATTAGCAACTCAGAAAGCTTTATTCATGCAATAAATATATATACTGAACACCTACTAAGTGCTGGGTATATAGTAGTGAGGAAGACAAAACCACAGCCTTCCTTGCATTTCATTCTAGAGGCAGAGGCACATTAGGTACTGCAAAAGTAATCATTTAATCACCGTCGTGATGACTATTACAGAAAGAGAAGCAGCAAGTACTAAGAATTCATTCATTCATTAATATTTATTATGTGCCTATATGTCAGGTGCTGAGAACACAGCAGTGAACCAAGCAGACAAGATTCCCCCTGACATGGAGCTTACAGTCCAGTGGTAAGAAACACAACAAACTAAATAAAATAAAACAAAATACACTATATGTCAGACAGTAATAAGTGCTATAGTGAAGTACCAAGCCAGAAAGGAGGATAAGAATTGCTTGAAGGATGGGGCAGGGAATGTAATTTTAAATTGGATGGTTAAGAAAAGCTTCCGTGAGCTGACTGCATCTGGGCAAAGACCTGGAGGAAGCAATAGAACAAACCACAGGGATCGCTCAGGCTAAAGTCTACCACACAACAGACCAGCAAGTGCAAGACTCTGAGGGAGGAGTGTGTTTGGCAGGTCTGAAGAATAGCAGGAGGGCCAGTGGCTGGAGCGGAGTGAGTGAAGGGGATAACAGTAGGGATCAGAGCATAATTGGGACCTTGTAAGAAGACTGTGAGAAATCTGGCTTTTAGTCTGAGTGATATGGGAAGCTGCGGGAGAATTTTAAAGGGAAGAATGGCATACACTGACTTATGCTTTAAGACGAGCACTCGGGCTGCTGTGGGAAAGACTGCAGAAGGGCAAGGTCAGATGCAAGGAGACCAGTGAGGAGGTGGCTGCAAGGACCCAGGTGAGAGACGAGGTTTGAACCAGGGAATTAGCAATGGCTAAGAAGTAATCGGATCCTGAATATATTTCTGAACAACAATATTTGCCAACAGATTGGATATGAAATACTGGAAAGAAAGAGCAGCTCAGGATGGTTCCCAGCTAGAAGACCAAATTACCATTCATTTAGATAAGGAAGGCTGCAGAAGGGGCAGGTTTGGGCAGGAAGATCACACATCCATTTCTGGACATGTTAAGTTTGAGATATCCATCAGACAACCACATGAAGATACTGAGGAGGCAGCAGGTAATGTAAACAAGTCTGGAGATAGAAATGGGGACAGTCATAGAGTCATCATTATAAAAAGGACATTTAAAGCCATGAGGTGATAGGATTGCTTAGGAGTGTGCGTACACAGAAAAAGGAAGGGTCAAAAGACTGCCCCTGAGCCTGGAGGCACTCAAATTTTCAGTTGTGAAGATGAAAAAGACCCGACAAAAGAGCATGGAAAGGAGTGCCAGTGAAGTAAGCAGAAACCAGAAGTGTGGTACCCTGGAAACCAAAGGAAGTGTTCCAAGGAGGAGGTAGTATCAGTGTCAAATGCAGAGTCAGCAAAGGTGGGCTGATAACTGGCTCCTGGGTTTAACAAGATGGAGTCAGAAATGAAGCTCACAACCTGAACTAGAGAAACTGGTGTGAACGGGGCACGCTGGACTGAAAATCTGATTGGCATGGATTGAGGAAAAAATAAAAAGAGAAGAACTAGAGACAGTATTAACTCTTGAATTTTGTTTTAATGTGGAACAGAGAAATGGGGTGATAGCTGGAAGATGTAGGATCAAGGGTTTTTTCTGAGAAAGGATAATACATTTATATGCATATTTATATTCCACATATATGTAGAATGATCCAGAGAGAAGGAAAAACTGATAACGCAGGAGAGATGGGTGTGGGGGTAGGGATTGCTGGAAAATGTCTTTGAATAGGTGGGAAGGTTTGGGGTCTTGGGACAAGTGTAGGGCTTCCCCTTAGCTAGCAGTGCATTCATCCACGGTAACAGGTGAGAAGGAGGTGCACACAGACACAGACGTGTTTAGGTGAGTAGATGTTGTGATAGGAACACAACACTGTGAACATTTTATGAGAAAACAGAAGCAATCAGAAGAGATAGGAAACAAAGTCACCAGCTGAGGGTGAAGATAGCACTTGGAAGTTTAAAGAACAAGAAGGTAAGATGTTTAGGAGAATGGAAGCATAAGTGGACAAGGGAAGTGTAATAGGCTAGCTGGGTGGCACTTAGGACCTACCTGAGGTCAGTGATAACAAATTTAAGATGACACCAATTCGCACAGTTGTGTATCCACTAGGAGGGGCAGAGGGCCTAAGCTAGCCTGAGGGTGGGAGTGTCAACGAGGCCTTCCCTTCACAGTGATGTTTGAGCTGAGCAATGAAGGATGCATATGCATTAACTAGGTGGTAAACGGGTTTCAGACAGAAAGTACAGCCTGTGTGAAGACCCCAAGGAAGGGAACATCAAGTAGGTTTGAGGGCTGGGCACAGTGGCTCACGCCTGTAATCTCAAGCACCATGGGAAGCTGAGATGGGAAGATTGTTTGAACCTAGGAGTTCAAGGATGCAGTGAGCTATGATTGCATCACTGCACACCAGCCTGGACGATGAAGCTAGTCCCTATCTCTCTTAAAAAAAAAAAAAAAGTAGATTTGAGGAACTGACCAAAGGACAATAGGCAGCCCAAGGAAGATAGCAGGGGAGGAGGCACAGAAAGAGGCTGGAGAGGGAAGCAGGACCTTGGAGACCATGCCAAGGGTATTGGTTCTATCCTGAAAGCAATGAGAAGCCACTGAAAGATTTGGGTGGGGATGCATGATTACAATTGCATTTTGAAAAGATCACTCCGACTGCTGGGTGGTCAGGGCAGAGGTCTAGGCAGGGACAAGGAGTCAAAGCAAGAAGACTATTTTGACTAAATAGCAGTCCAGGCAAGTAGTGGTGGCTTGGACTGGGGAGCTATCAGTGGAAAGGGAAAAACATTAGAAGATTCAAGAGATTTTGGGCCAGGTGCGGTGGCTCACGCCTGTAATCCTAGCACTCTGGGAGGCCAAGGTGGGAGGATCACTCGAGGTCAGGAGTTCAAGACCAGCCTGAGCAAGAGCAAGACCCCATCTCCACTAAAAATAGAAAGAAATTCGCTGGACAACTAAAAATATATAGAAAAAATTAGCTGGGCATGGTGGCACATGCCTGTAGTCCTAGCTACTTGGGAGGCTGAGGCAGAAGGATCGCTTGAACTCAGGAGTTTGAAGTTGCTGTGAGCTAGGCTGACTCCACGGCACTCTAGCCTGGGCAACAGAGTGAGAGTCTGTCTCAAAAAAAAAAAAAAAACACGAAGACTCAAGAGATTTTTGGAGGTAAAATCAATAGGATTTAGGAATGAGAAACTGGGACATGTCAAAGGTGGTATGTAGGTTTCCCACTGGGTGGATGGTGGTTTGATTCACTGCGAAGGGAAGCCTTGGGGAGAAATGGGTTTGGAGTCGGGGGAGATCACAAGATCTAGTTTGGGCATGCCGAACATCCCTATGAAAAAGCTTGAAGGCTCTTGTGAAAACCCAGGCAAGAGATGGCAGTGGCCTGAACTAGAGATGGTGGAAAGAGGAGAAGACAACTGGGGAAGTATTAAGAATGTATAACCCCTAGGACTGTTGATAGCTGGGATATGACGGGAGAAGGCAGGGACAAGATGAGATGCAGATTTCTGACCTGGCAGCAGAATAGGGGGTAAAGGAAGAGAAGCCAGTCTAGGAGCAAGTGAAGGTAGGTGTTCCCTTCCATATTACATGCCTTTTCTCCCTTTTTTAACATAACTGCCTTTCTCTCATCCACCCATCCTTCATGGAAAAACTGCTGTTGACACTCTTTTCCTTGTTTCTGAGCCTGCTGAGTTCACACTGTTCACCTCCTTCTCACCTGACAGAGCTTCCCCTTGAGGGAGTCCATGTGGACATGGACAGAGCATGCCCAAAGGCTCTACACATGCCTCATCACAGTTCTTGTACTATAACATCTTCCCCTATCTCATCCACTCGACCATAAGCTCCTTGGGCAGAGGAAACCTGTCTTATTCATTGTTGAATCCCAATACTAGCATGATTCTTGGCACATAGGGGACCTGGAATACAAGTTGGCTGAATGAATAGAAGAATGAATGCCTGCCTCTGGGAAGACTTCCCTTAATATGACCTAATTCTTTCCCTTTGAACAAGGACATGTTAATTTGCATTCCTAGGGAGACCACTACATAAGAGTTTTTAAATGAGTGCTTTCCATGTGGGGTTTTATCTTCCCATTAGATTATAAGGTAAGGAACTGTTTCCTTTGTAGTTTTTGGTTCTTAACAAAACTGAAGCAAAATTTTCCTTACCTTTTCCTTTCCCAAGTCTGCAGTGTCTAATTCCTACCCCCACTTCCCATGAAACACAGCCTAACCTTCAGAAACTCATAAGCTTGTTTCTACTAGCAATAAAAACCTAAAGCATCTAAAATATATTCGTAATAAGGTTACAAAGCACTCATGGGATTTGTTTGTTTCTTTCTTTGTTTATTTATTATTTTTAGAGACAAGGTCTCACTCTGTCCCCCAGGTTGGAGTACAATGGTATGATTATAGCTCACTGAAACCTCCAACTCCCAGGCTCAAGTGATCCTCCCATCTCAGCCTCTAGAGTAGCCAAGAATACAGGCACATGCCACCACACCCCACTAAATTTTTTATTTTTTGTAGACATGGAGTCTGTCTGTGTTGCCCAGGCTGGTCTCAAACTCCTAGCCTCAAGTGATCGTCCCACCTTGGCCTCCCAGAGTGCTGGGATTACAAGCATGAGCCACCGCACCTGGCCACTCATGAGGTTTAATATTCGCAGGTCGGCTGGCCCTGGGGGCTCTCATGCCTGTAATCCCAGCACTCTGGGAGGCCAAGGTAGGAGGATTGCTTAAAGCTCAGGAGTTCAAGACCAGCCTGAGCAAGAGCAAGATCCTGTCTCTACTAAAAATAGAAAAAAAAAAATAGCTGGGCAACTAAAAATAGAAAAAATTAGCCAGGCGTGCCTGTAGTCCCAGCTACTCAGGAGGCTGAGGCAGGAGAATTGCTTGAGCCCAGGAGTTTGAGGTTGCTGTGAGGTACGATAATGCCAGGGCACTCTAGTCCAGGCAACGGAGCGAGACTCTGTCTCAAAAAAAAAAAAATACTCGCAGGTCTCTCCCCCTACAGGGTACCCCTATATATGAGTTTTGACAGAAGATCATGTCCAAAGCAAAGGAGATATACGTGACAGCATTCTCCATGAAATCACAAAAAAAGCAAAAAGGCAGAAACAACTTCTACAAGACCTGCCTAATTTTTATTTCCTACCCTCAAATCAACCACCCAAGTGGGTGCGGGGGAGGGGGAGGAGGAATTTGTTAAAAGGAAGGGACTGCACTGGGCCTAAAGCACTCCCCTCTCTCAAGAATTCACGAAGTGACAGTTTCTCCTCCTCCCTACCCGCCCCCACTCTCTCCCGCCGCAAAGCCAGCTCACGCACCCTGCAGCGCTGCCAAGATGCCCACGATGCCCGTCCCCGCGCCCAGTTCGATCACCTTCTTGCCTCGGAAATCCATATTTTGACTCTCGAAATAACTGCACAGGCTCAGAGCCTATGGGAGAAAAGAGAGAAAAAGACCGTCCCGGTGAGGGCTCCATCTGGAAGAGGCGGAGTCGGGGGCTGGACCTCCCAAGGGACCCTCACCCGGAGCTGCCCACTCCTCACCGCGTCCCACACACCCGCCGCCACCCCGAGGTGAGACCCAAAGTTCTGCGTGATGCTCAGCACATGCCCACAGAAGGAGAACTGGCTCTTTTCGGAGTAAGAGTCCGCGAAGAGCCCGATCTCCCGTGGGAACACCGACTCCGGCTCTGATTCAGGATCTGGGCCGAGGTCAGCCATTCCACTGAGAGAGCGCCGGAGCACCGCGGCCCGCGCAGGGATCGCTGGTATGTAGCGGGGGAGAGGCCGAGGGTCGCGGACCGTCTCGGCTTCCCAGTGGCACGAGCCCCGCCTCCCCGAGTTTGCCCTCCCTCCTCTAGTTTGACTTCCTGTAGGTGGAATGAGGAGCTGCCCCTCCCGCCCGGGTCCCTAGCGCATACACGACCGGACTCACGCAGAACCACACAGGTCAGCCCTGTAGACTGGTCCGAGACCAGGGGAGAGGGGAGAGGAGAGAGGGGAGACGATTGACTCTATTGTTGGAGGCGGGGTCCCCCAGACCCCGCTTACCTGTGGGGTGCACTGGTGCTGCAAACAGGATGGTAGCCCAGACTAGGCAGCTGCAAACTAAGGGGAAAGGTTGGGTGCCTGGGTCTGGCCTCGCCAACCGGGTTACGGACTAGCGGTGGGGAGGCGCCACCGTGTACTGGCCGGGCACATCCCAGCCTAGCCCAGCCGAATTCGCTCTTGGGTCTTTAAGGGGCGGGGTCCGCTCCCAACTTGCAAGACTGCGTCATTATCTTGCGCCTCCGGCCTGCGTCTCCACGTGGGTTAGGTGTTGAAACCTGGGACTGCGGATCATGGCGGGAGCCGAGAGTTGGGACGCGGCCGGAGCCGAGGCCCCGCAGCCCCAGAAGCGCTACTACCGGCAACGTGCTCACTCCAACCCCATGGCGGACCACACGCTGCGTTAGTGAGTGAGCGGGACGCGGAGAGGGAAAGGAGGGCTGTATTCTCAAAGCAGTCTGGGAAGCAGTTGTGTTGGAACGGTTGGGAGAATGTGGGGTAGACCGCGGAGGATCGGCTGGGTGACGTCAGTTTTGGGGGTGGGTCCGGGGGATTTGACAGAGAACGGAATTGGCCAGTTGGGAGGGGGCGTGGCGCTCTGGCCTAAGTCTGGGTAGCGGTGCTAAGTCTGGGAAGAGTAAGAATTGCTATTGAGACTATTAATAGAGGCAGAATGTCGTTTCCATCTTTCTGTTTTGTTTGTTGGATTTAATAAAAAGGCAAACATATACACAGTCCTGCCCCCATCTTACTCCATCCCCACAGAACACACACACAAAGTAAGATCCCAGGACCTTAGGCAGCCAGTCTCTGGGAGAAGGGAAACTTGTGCCCCAGAAAGGAGAGCTGTCCCGCCAGGGTCACATCAACCCCTAAAAGTGGGGACAGGCAGGTCAGCGATCATGGGCCTCATGATGGGCCTGTGATTCACCCTAGGGGTTAAGGGTGGTTTCCATTGTGCCTCTTAGAGGTCACACAGCCCACTGTTGAGAAACCGTCTTCCCATCTACCTCCCATCCTCAACCCACCCACACACTCACAGTACCGCTTCTGCAAGAGTATGGCCAACCTTCTCACATTTCTTATGCCTTCTTTCCAATAGCCCTGTGAAGCCAGAAGAGATGGACTGGTCTGAGCTATACCCAGAGTTCTTCGCTCCACTCACTCAAAATCAGAGCCACGATGACTCAGAGGATAAGAAAGAAAAGAGAGCTCAGGCCCAAGTGGAGTTTGCAGACATAGGCTGTGGCTATGGTGGCCTGTTAGGTAACACTCTGGCCCTTTCTCTGGGGTAGAGGAGAGGCCTACTTTCTGCCACCTCAGCAGGTTTTGTGAGGGCCATAGTTGGCCTTTCTCCTTTTGACCAGACACTGGTGACAGCAGCATGGAGAGCCTCCACCTTCTCTCTGCTCTGGGTCTGTGGCCTTTGCCCTGGAGAATGGAGAGGGCTGCCTCAGGTCCCTCTCATAACCTAGGTTGTGCTGTCTGGCCTATGTGAGCCATTTCACCTGCCAGGTGCCAGGTCAGTGAGCCGGTCAGCACAAGCGTCAGAGATTAGCCACTGTGGCTAGTGATCCTGAACTGTCTTTCTCAGGGATTCCTCCATCTCCCCTCCCCCAACACCCTCCTTCACTAGAACTCATTCCTTTTGCTCCACTTTCATGTTTTTTGGGTTTTTCTTGTATTGTCTGTATTGTCCCAGCTGTGCATGCCAAGGCACGTCCCTATTTTTAGATCTTCCCATTCAGATAACAGCCTGATAGAGAGGAAGAGTATGATATTTGGAAGCAGAAAGCCTTGGTTCTAGTTCTAGCTCTACCCCTTCTTAGTGCTATATGATCTTGAGCTTTTTTGTCTTTTCTTTTTTTTTTTTTGAGACAGAATCTCACTCTGTTGCCCAGGTTAGAGTGCCGTGGCGTCAGCCTAGCTCACAGCAACCTCAAACTCCTGGGCTCAAGCAATCCTCCTGCCTCAGCCTCCCAAGTAGCTGGGACTACAGGCATGCGCCACCATGCCCGGCTAATTTTTTCTATATATTTTTAGTTGTCCAGCCAATTTCTTTCTATTTTTAGTTGAGATGGGGTCTCACTCTTGCTCAGGCTGGTCTTGAACTCCTAAACTCAAACGATCTTCCCGCCTCGGCCTCCCAGAGTGCTAGGATTACAGATATGAGCCATCGCGCCCGGCCAATATTGAGCATTTCTGACCCTCGGTTCCTCATCTTCACCGTTTAACACAGAGGGTTGTAAGGATGTGAAAACACTGTGGAAACTCTAAAGCAATTGCAAATATACATATATTCTTAGCTCTACCATTCCAGTCCTGGTGACAATTTTCAGATCTCCCTGGCCTTTTCAGCATAAAACTATCCATGTAGGTATCTCTGTCCCCACTTGCCATTCCTGACTTCAGTAGTTGCAGATTGAGGCTTCCTTTGCTGTGTTGACTCCTTTGCACTTCCTGCAAGTATAAGGTTGATGATTCCAGTGCTATTTCTGTGTCCAGTGGAACTGTCACCGCTGTTTCCAGACACGCTGATTCTGGGTCTGGAGATCCGGGTGAAAGTCTCAGACTATGTACAAGACCGGATTCGGGCCCTACGCGCAGCTCCCGGAGGTGGCTTCCAGAACATCGCCTGTCTCCGTAGTAATGCCATGAAGCACCTTCCTAACTTCTTCCGCAAGGGCCAGGTGAGGAGGGACCCTAGTGGGTTAGCTTGGTAAGTAGACAGGGCCTGGAGGCCAGGCTCTCACAACCTTGTTGGTGCATGTCTGTCTCACAGCTGACAAAGATGTTCTTCCTCTTCCCTGACCCACATTTCAAGCGGACGAAGCACAAGTGGCGAATCATCAGTCCCACATTGCTGGCAGAATATGCCTACGTGCTGAGAGTTGGGGTGAGTCGGGAGTGGGAGGAAGGATGGAGTAAGTGGCCTACCCAGGGGCCCTTCACTAAGAATTCAGTGGGGGTGTATTTAGGGACTTGTACTACCACTTCCATCATCTTGCTACTCAATTGCATACAGCCCCTCCCCTCAATCCCCCATCTAGTGATTTTGCCTGTGCAGGGGCTGGTATATACCATAACTGATGTGCTGGAACTACACGACTGGATGTGTACCCATTTTGAAGGGCACCCCCTGTTTGAGCGTGTATCTCTGGAGGAACTGGTAAGTAAGGGGCCTAAGGGAAATTGCAAAGATGCAAACCCTCTCCAAAGTGGTTCTGTATTCTTTGAATGCAGCTCAGTACCAGGAGGATGGGATGGGAGTCTAGAGGGCCAGGGCAGTCTGAAAGGTGGGCAGGGACTTATTGGACCCTTCCTTCTCCCAGAGCGAGGACCCCATTGTGAGACATCTAGGCACCTCAACTGAGGAGGGAAAGAAAGTTCTACGCAATGGAGGAAAGAATTTCCCAGCTATCTTCCGAAGAATACAGGATCCCACCCTCCAGACAATGACTCCCGGTCCCACCCTGCCTGGTCACTGACTACTCATCCTACCTTGGCTCGACCCCATCTTCCAGGGACTGGAAAGAAGATCAGGACCCCTGGACCTTCCCAGCTGATACTGCTGGGGCTGAGAGGCAGTGATCTCTCAAAGAAGTTGGGGCTGCCTATGGAAGAAGGCTGATGTTCCCAACTACCCCCAGCTCCTCTCACCTTCTTGTCCCTTCACTTCCAGCAGAAATCAAAAGAAGCTGACTGGGAAGGGCAAAGGGTTTTGGACCAGAGGGGATGTTCGGAAGGGTGTGGGGTCTTGCCCTCCCTTAGCACTCCCTTCCTCTTGTAGGATCTCTCCTTAGCTGGAGTGAGGAATGCAGTGCTCCACTGTCCATCTAAACTGCCTGCTAGGCTCAAACCACCTGTCTACTTGTGTTTACTTTGCAGTCCTGGGGATAAAGTGTATGCATGCGCATGTGCCCGTTGTGCCATTTCTTAGGAAAGGCTGCTGTGTCACATGCCTTCTCCCATCCTCCCATCTGCTCACTGCCTAAGGCTTGACCTAGGGAAGCCTTTATTGTTGCTGTGTCTGGAGAGTCCCCAGGAGGGGGTGGGGGTGGAGATCGTCTCCTTTTTCATGTTGACCTTCGATTCCAGAACTTCAGAGCTGACTGACTGGTGCAGAGCCTGGTTGGGGGAAGTGGGGAGTGGGAGAATGAAGAGCAGAGAGCTGCTGTGGAGGATTCTGAAGCCAAAAGTGGACAAGGGCTGCTAACCAGAAAGCCCCCCTGAAGAGACTGAGTCAGCTGAGGATTCAGAACATACTACTCCATTCAATGGCCCAGACAGAATCTCTGAACTTTTCTAATTTGCAAAAAGTTCCTTTGTTTCTGCTCTTCAAGCCCCAGATTCCGACGGCTGGAAGGAGGGGGCTTGTTGGCCTCAGAGACCCTGTCCACCCCAAGAAACAAAGATGAAGGCCCCTGGAGCCGTTTTAACCCATTAACCCACCTACCATCTGCCCAGTGCGTGTTAGGTACAAGGAGAGAGGGAGATGTGGCCAGTGCAGGAAAGTAAGGCAGAGAAGGTGCTGCCCAATGAGCCAAGAATGTGGGAACAGTTACAGCTGTGCCTCTTCCCTGCTTCCCTTCCCGGAGGAGCTGGAGGGTGGGGAATTCCTGACGATGGGCCTGAAGAGGCTGGGGAAGTGATAGAAATAGTAGGGACTGATTTGTGTAGATTGGTCACCTAATCCATACTAAATAGCCTTTACCTGGATGAGAATTTTTGACTGCTGGAGGGCACTAGCGCTGGCGGAAAAGCTCAGATAGGCTTCCCCTCCCTTGAGGATCATTGCAACATGAGACCCGAGGGAGCCTGGAAGTCAGCCCCAGCCCCGCCTACTTCTGGGTGCTAATCCCGAGCACGGACCACTCAGAAAGAGGGGATTGGCTGAGGAGCTTCGAGAGGGGGAGTCGTCACCTCCTAGGCCAAAGGTTAAATAGGGCTTCAAGCAAGATGCTCCAGAGAAGCGCTCTCTTTCGTGGGCCCCCTGAACCTCACCATGACCCAGGCCCTCAAGTTCGCTGCCAGAGTGTTCCATCGCGTCCGCTGTACTCCTGAGCTGAGCGCCTCGCGGGACTACAGAAACTACGACTCAGCACCCCGGCGCTTGGCAGACATCCCAGGCCCCTCCACACCCAGCTTTCTGGCTGAACTTTTCTGCAAAGGGGGGCTGTCGAGGCTACATGAGCTGCAGGTAGGAGGGGAGGCCATTCCCATGACTGAGAGCTGAGGAAACCGGGTTTGACAACGTCAGAAAGGACAGGCTAGTGCAGAATATATGAGGGAGGGCCACTGAGAACTGACGCCTATGATTATGGAAAAGGCAAATTGAGACTGGGGGCGGTGGCTCGACCGGCGCGATGCCATCCGTACACCCGCAGAGTAATGCGCTCAGAAAGCGCCTTCTTGCTATGCAGAGGTCTGGAGACCCTGCAGGTCCAGTACAAATATGGGGCGGGGGCGGCCGCGAAGCTCGCGGTATCCTCGGTGCGCATTGGGCTTAAAGCTAGACGCACTCCTTTTCATTCACTGAGGGCTGGTCCAGAGATGAACACTGCCGGTATGGAACCATTAGGAATTTATCCGCTTCAGCTCGGCCCAGATGACCAAAGAGAAGTCCTGAATGTCCGCTTTGCCCAGAGTTCCTTCGTTTTGCCCATCACATTCAAACTTCCTAGGGATGGGAAATGGGAGAAAGAGGAAGAGTTTGCAGTATCAGGGCCATACACACTAGCTGGGCGCTTGAGAGGGAGCAGAAGCTTCCTCTTTCAAAGCCCAGCCAACGCCCCTGAGAGTCCCCGCCCGGGTCTCCAAGTGTCCGCTGCGTCGGTTCTCCCAGGTGCAGGGCGCTGCGCGCTTCGGGCCAGTGTGGTTGGCCAGCTTCGGGACGGTGCGCACGGTGTACGTGGCCGCTCCTGTCCTCGTCGAGCAGCTGCTGCGACAGGAAGGACCCCGGCCAGAACGCTGCAGCTTCTCGCCCTGGGTCGAGCACCGTCGCCACCGCCAGAGAGCTTGCGGACTGCTCACCGCGTGAGTCGTCTCTGCCCTCAAAGCCTAGACGCCCAGTAGCGGCCCTCTCTTGCAGCGGGTCCCAAAACAATCAGGGAGCGTCGGGAGAGGTCGGCCGTTTCCCCGACCGACCTTCTGGCATCCCGGGTTCCCATCCCAGTGTGTTTCACCCAAACTCGGGTCTAGCCCCACCCTCCCCCCCTGCCCGCCTCCTTATCCTTGGTGTCCAGAATCCTGGAAACTGAGGGAACCAGCGGGATGGGCTAAGGTGCCAGGATCTAGATGGATTGTAAGATTTTGTGACCCAAGTTATCCGAGAACCCAGGCCCCTCTGGGGCAGGAAATGAATAAGGAGGAAGGGGGATGGAAGACACGCGCAGGCAGGGGCAGGTTTCTGTACCCCTGGGGGAACAGACTCAGTCCCTCCCCTGGCCACCCCAGCGAAACGAGCTCCTTCTCCACAGCAGCCAGCCAGGTCGAGCCATTCCACACACCTCACCTCCCTGATGCACCCCTCTCCGCACCCCCGCAGGGAAGGCGAAGAATGGCAGAGGCTCCGCAGTCTTCTGGCCCCGCTCCTCCTTCGGCCTCAAGCGGCCGCAGGCTATGCCGGGACCCTGGACAGCGTGGTGCGTGACCTTGTGAGACGACTGAGGCGCCAGCGGGGACGTGGCACCGGGCCGCCCGCCCTGGTTCGGGACGTGGCGGGAGAGTTTTACAAGTTTGGACTAGAGGGTGAGTCTGAAGACAGTTAGGGGCAGGAGTAGGAGGCGCCCGGCCGGGGTCTCCCGGTGGCCTGACAGCGCCCCCTCCCGGTCAGGCATAGCCGCGGTGCTGCTGGGTTCGCGCCTAGGCTGCCTGGAGGCAGAAGTGCCGCCGGACACAGAAGCCTTCATCCGCGCTGTGGGCTCGGTGTTTGTGTCCACGCTGTTGACCATGGCGATGCCCAGCTGGCTACAGCGCCTTGTGCCGGGGCCCTGGGTCCGCCTCTGCCGAGACTGGGACCAGATGTTTGCATTTGGTAAGGCACAGAAGCGAGGTGGGAATGGGGGAACGTAAAGGGGAATGTAAAGCTGTCCAGGAATAGTGAGGCATTAGTGGTGTGCCTTCTCCCCACGCAGCCCAGCAGCACGTGGAGCGGCGAGAGGCAGAGGTAGCCATGAGGAACCGAGGAAAGTCTGAGGAGGACATGGGACCTGGGGCGCACCTGACCTACTTCCTGTTCCGAGAAGAGTTGCCTGCCCAGTCCATCCTGGGGAATGTGACAGAGTTGTTACTGGCCGGAGTAGACACGGTGAGGTTCTCCCTCAACGCTGTTAGCCACACTTCCAGAGCTTAGCTTCCCCAGTCTCAGGGGCCACTTTTCTGTTGCAGGGGATCCACTATGGCCCCTTTGCACCTCCTTGGCCCCAGACTGCCCCATATTCTGCCCCCTATACTGGGTCCCCACACCCAACACCTCTTATGCCCTCACCTGTCCCTCAGGTGTCCAACACACTCTCCTGGGCTCTGTACGAGCTCTCCCGGCACCCTGAAGTCCAGACAGCACTCCACTCAGAGATCACAGCTGCCCTGGGCCCTGGCTCCAATGCCCACCCCCCAGCCACTGCTCTGTCCCAGCTGCCCCTGCTGAAGGCTGTGGTCAAGGAAGTGCTAAGGTAAAGGGGAAGGAGAAGAAGAACTAGAGAAAATGCTGGGGAAGCAGATAGTGGATGGAAGCTGGGAGAAAGCAGAGAAAAATGGTACTCTCCTCCTGGCCAAAAATGGGTTTGGAAGTCAGAGACAGTGAGAAGTAGGCTACAGTCCTCATCCTCACTTTGTTGTCTCCATCTTGTCCCTTGCAATCTAGACTGTACCCTGTGGTACCTGGAAATTCCCGTGTCCCAGACAAGGACATTCATGTGGGTGACTATATTATCCCCAAAAATGTGAGTAGAGTCTGCAGATCCCTTTTGCTGAGCCATTCCTCACTCTCTTGGGCCCCAGACCTGTTCTCTCAAATGCCATTCAAATCCTCCCCTTGACCTCTCTCTGGGATATAGTGGGGCAGTGGAGAAATCATTCCAAAAGTAGCCCCAGAAAACTTCCCTATCACCAACTAGGGTCTGTGTTTGTCCCAGTCCATACAGCCCCTTCTTCATGCCCCACACCCCCACATTCTTGGGCCCAAACTGACAAGTTTGTGTTCCTCCACCAGACGCTGGTCACTCTGTGTCACTATGCCACTTCAAGGGACCCTGCCCAGTTCCCAGAGCCAAACTCTTTTCGTCCAGCTCGCTGGCTGGGGGAGGACCCAGCCCCCCACCCATTTGCATCTCTTCCCTTTGGCTTTGGCAAGCGCAGCTGCATAGGGAGACGCCTGGCAGAGCTTGAGCTACAAATGGCTTTGGCCCAGGTGAGTGATCTAGACCTTATACCTTCCCTAGATGGAGAGACCCTAACCCTCTACAGCTGTGAGCTCTTGTCCTCTGACAAGCATAGGAAAATATACAAGACGTGGTAGAACGAATCCTCTGAAATATGACAATCTCATTATAGGCCTGGAATGTACCTCCAGGTACACTACCATAATCCCTTACCCTCGTTACCAAGAAGTCCCCTACTGGCCACAGGTGCCACCCCAACATTGACCATTCTAACGTTAATAATGCCCTTTACCAATCAATCCCATCATTATACATCCCTCCCATAGTGAGAGCCTTTTTCCTCCCTTTCCAGATCTTGACCCATTTTGAGGTACAGCCTGAGCCAGGTGCTGCCCCAATCAGACCCATGACCCGGACTGTCCTGGTACCTGAGAGGAGCATCAATCTACAGTTTGTGGACAGATAGTCCTGTGGAAGGAGGCTGTTAACATCACCCTACACCACAGCAAAATGCTTGAGGCAGCCCTGACCAATGTGTGAAGTGTACACTGGGCCTGACTCATTGGGCCCCAAGAAAACCAAACGGTCCCTCCACCTGCTGGTCATATACACATCCTTCAAGGGCCAGCCCAGATTTTAACTAGTCCTGCTGGGTGGCCTGAGGAAGGATTCAACCACTGTTCTTTTGGTGCTTCCACACTGTTCATTGATGTTGCTGGGTAAGCATTTGTCAGAGCCTGAGCTAAGTAATTGTGCATCTGTAGCTGCTGGTCCTTCCTCTTTGCATGCGAGCTCTTTGAGAGGAAAGATGAGGTCTTATTTGGTTTTTTTTTTTTTTTTTTTTGAGACAGAGTCTCACTCTTTTGCCCAGGCTAGAGTGCCGTGGCGTCAGCCTAGCTCATAGTAACCGCAAACTGCTGGGCTCAAGCAATCCTTCTGCCTCAGCCTCCCGAGTAGCTGGGACTACAGGCATGTGCCACCATGCCTGGATAATTTTTTCTATATATTTTTAGTTGTCCGATTAATTTCTATTTTTAGTAGAGACGGGGTCTTGCTCTTGCTCAGGCTGGTTTCAAACTCCTGAGCTCAAACAATCCTCCCACCTCGGCCTCCCAGAGTGTTAGGATTACAGGCGTGAGCCACCGCGCCCAGCCTTATTTGGTCTTTATATCCCCTGCCAGCGGGGATAAACCTACCTCTGACTAGGTGACACCATACTCATTCTCAGGTTGAATCTGGACCATGTGGCAGAAGGGATAAGCAGCTTACCACACTCTCCCCCCTTCCTTCTTCATCTTGCCTTTAGGAAGGTGAAGCCATCTTAGCCTGGTTTATGATTTTTTAAAACTTTCTGGTCACTATTAAGTGGGGTTGCCCTACTACTTAGCTCCCAGGCAGATATCTATGGGCCTGTCCCTGCCCAGGCCCCTGCCGTTTTTATATTGAAAATTTTAAATATTCATAAGTTTTACAATTAAAAAAATCAAATGTTCCATTCTAGACTTTTTACTTACTTCTCTTCCCCTCCCACGTCCTATAAGACCTTGAGGCAAGTCCCTGACCCCCATCTCCCACCTTGGGTTCTCAGGTCCTGGGGGTGATTCCCATAATCTGGACACCTAGAAGAGTGGTTTGTAACACAAACCCAGATAGGATTCTGTCTGGAGTGGGAACAGCCAAGTCCAGTCTGGCTTCTTGTAAAAGACTAAGGGGATGGTGGTGAAAAGTAGCTACAGGGGCTAAGCTGTAAAATGGGTCAAGAGCTAGGGATTTGCAGAGATAGGCAGAGGCTGCTGACTAGTAAGAGAAGTGCTTTTGGAGCCTAGACTACTATAACCTAAGGACATCCTAGAATGGCCACTCTGCCCTCTCTGGAACAGCTGCTCCAAGATAACTTCCTTCAGAGAAAGACAGGGATACAGGCAGAGAAGTGGCGTAAGACAGGATGAAAGCCGAGTGTGGGGGTGGCCAGAAGCCCTGGAGCGCCAAGGCAGGAGAAGGGGGGTGGGCAGAGGGAGCTTCTGTTTCCCTGAGTCAGCACTCTCTGGCCCCCCAGAAGCTGGGCACTGTTTTCCCCTTGTGATGTATACAGATTAACTCATCTTCCATCCAAATAAATCTCTCAGCACACTCTGTGCAGCTCCCTCTACATACCAGATTACCCTTCCCATGTCAGGACTTGCCCCCTTTCCCTCCACCCCCCACCACTGCCCCATTCCAATTAGCTGGGTGTAGATGGAGATTTCACTTCACACGTCTTCCTCCCCTGCACCACCTTGGCCCCCTTCCCTAGACATGGCTCCTTGACCACACAAACTCCATTGGCCACCAAGCCTTCTGTGGGGGATCTAATTATGCAAGATCTAGAGAGGGGCAGGACATACCCAAAGCAGTGCATTTACTGCCCCTCCTCTCAACTCCTTCTCTACTGTACACTCAGTCTCCAACCCTACTCCCCTATCACTAAGCTGAACTTGAACCTAAATGACCCAATTTTTAGCAGATTTGAGCTTTGAGGGAGAATAAAGCCCAGCTTGCTGACAGACCCTTTCCCCTGGAATCAGTGATGAGACTTCTACCACCCACACTCCCCATTCCCCATTGGGCAAGTAGGAATGCCCACTTGAGGAAAGCAACAGTTCCTATGAGCCCTTTCCTGGACAAGGATCTCTTTAAGTTGGAAAAAGGGAAGGAGAGGAGATCATAGTGATTGCTGGCCCCAACCCCCACACCAAGACCTCCATTGGTGCAAAAGGAGAGGGGAAAGCACTGCCTCACTTGGCCTGGTTTTAGGACCCAGAGTGGAAATGGAGACTGTGTTTGTGTGTGTATCTATGTTCTTGGGTATGTCAAACCTTCCATGCAGAGCCATCACGGGGACAGCCCAGGCTTTGCACAGCAAGCTCCATATATGTCCTATCTACCTGAGCTCTATCTGCTAGTATGGGTATTAGTAGTCATTCTGATTTGCTGTCTCCCATTTGGTCCCCACCAGCTCTTCTGTGAATGGCAAATCAATAAAATCTGGCCCTTCTGTCTCCCCAGGTGGAGAGTGTAGAGGGTTATCTCTGGGAAAACAGATCACCAGTGGGAAGGGTGAGGGCTCAGCCTCAGTCCCCTGTCAACTGTGACCCCCTCAGAAGTTGGAAGTGATATGTTTTCACACTTGGACCCCAGTCAAGCTTTGGTTCCTACACCCCCAGGCAAGTCTGGGTGCCAGCACCATGGACAGCAGCCAACACCACTTGGGAGAGAAGGGAATCAAGGTTTCCCAGCAAGGATATGTGGACCTTTAGAAGAGAAGTATTTTCTCCAAAACATCTCCAGGGAGAAGGCAGTGCAGAACCTTCCCTGGGAGAAGGACCAATATAAGAAAGTCCTCTAGATCTGACTTTAGCAGTGTATGAAGGAATTATTTTAATTGCTGATGAACAGTTCACTTAAAAGACACCATCATTCGTGTAATACACAGTCCCGAGGTCTCAGGAGAAAGGGACCAGGCTTCAGGCTGACCCACATTTTAAATAGTCCTTCCCAAATCTCTTCTCTGTAAACAGTCCCCTATATGCTGCTGCCTCCAAGCACAATACCTTCCATTAACACCACTAGCTGGGCACACCAGGATCAGACCTGTGACCCTAAACTGCCATAGGAGTAGCTTAAACTGGTGTTGGAGATGCATAACACTGGGGGATTCCCTCCATCTCCCTCCAAATGAGTCCAAATTCACTTCACACTTTTCTGAGTGAGCACAGTACCTGGGATGGACTAATAGAACCCAGATGATCTCTAGAACAAGAGAGATGGCTCCAGCCTCCCCAAGCACCAGGCGCCAATATTTAGAGAGTCAGAGGAGTTCTCATTCTTACAAATAACTAACATCCTTCACATTTGCAATGTCTATTTTCCCTCATATTTCCATATCTATTATGTCACTCAACACAAAATTCCAAGATTCTGTGCAACTCCAGATGAAAAACACGTTTTGGAATTTGTTATACCAGCTACTATTTGAAATAAATGGACCATCAACTAGTCTAGAAATCTTTTTATGCCATCACTGATTTTCTTTGCAATGGCATGCAACCTGTCCCTCATTTTTCCTCGTTCCAATCCTATGAGGTAGACAGGAAAACCACAGCTGAGAGATTCTTTTCTAAATCACAACTTGCAGGTGGCAGACTCACCCCTTAGATACCTCTGAGCACTGCCACCTAGCAGCCAATGTGAATTATTCACCAGCAAGTGGGAGTCACACCTACAACTCAGAACCCACTGCTGCATTTGGAATTTACAACCTGTGCAGAGAAACCTCCCCACACCTCCCAACCCTCCAGAAAAGCCCCAGATGAGAAAGGAGTCTCCATGTGCATATAAATGATTCTTTATGCCCTTCCCCCATGCAATAGGGGGTGGAGCAGGGGGAAGTCCCCCGCCCTCATGCAGGGAACGGGAGGTCAATGTATACTAGTCTTATTGCCAGATGCCCTGTGGCCATGGGGTGGGGAATGGGGGTCTACAGCCCCTTTCTTCTGGCACTGGTCCCCCTTCACCAAGTCACCGTGGTGGAGCTGGTGGGCTGGAGGCCCTAGGAGCTGAGGTAAAGGCGGTTCTTTCCAGGGAAGAAAAGTTGCTCTCCTTGCCTGCCCACTGGCAGTCTCAGGATGAGTGTGAGGAGCTGTCAGTGGGTGCTGGAATGTCATCCAGGTGTCTCTACCCAGTGGGCAGTAGACGCCAGACATGTCTCCAGCTTGAAGCTGCCCGCAGAGATCCTCAGTGGTGGAGGCAGTATGCCCCAAACACCGTGTCCAGGTGGTACCTCCAGCAGCCATGAGAGCTTATCTCTAGCTGATGCATTGACTCAAGATCCCTGCTCCCGGAGTCCAGGTTCAGACTGTGGTGACCCTCATGACAACCTCTCGGCCAGAATGGGAGCTGGAGCGGGCATCTGGTGGCCGCAGCTGTCCAAGGAGGTGCAAGATTGTGTAACCACAGCGCTGAGGCAAGAGCGTCCGCATGCGCTGGGCAGCTGGGGGGCGGCTGGTGGCCCCAGAGGGGGGGCCCGTCCTTGAGGTCCTAGGGCCCGGCTTCCCTGCCGTCCCTCCCCCTGCATCTCCTCCTATGTCCTTGGTCTTGTCATAATTCAGGACCTTCCACTGCTGGTTCACTGCCTGCCAGCGCTTGAAGATGCGATAGACAGAGGAGCCTTCGTGGACGATGAGGCCTGAGCAACAGGGACAAGAAATCCAGGGTCAACTGCTACCCAGACCTAGGCCAGAAGTACTTAAGCAAGCATTTCTTTAGAGTGAGGAGATACAGTTGCAAAGGGCCCTGGAGAAGCAGGGAAGGGAAGGGCACCAAGATAGCCCTAAAGTCCCCCAATGGCAGGAAATAAGGCCACTAAACTGAGGGGATGGGCAAGGAAGTTAAGTGTGTGAGTAAGAGGAAGGTGTGGAGCAGGTAAGGGAGAGAGAGGTGCCCTCACCTATGCAGACGACATCCATGAAGCCATACATGCCGTAGCAGATCTGAAAGAGCAGATCCTGCCGTTGCCACTTGGCTGAAGGACTGAGTGAGGACCAGATGAGCCAGGAGATGCTGGCGACTAGGAAGAGTGAGCCCAGGACTATGGCAGCAATCTGGACCTTCTCGATGACCGTCAGGGAGATGGCCTGCCACTGTGTGAAAGAAAGGGCTCCAAAAAGTCACAGAAAGGGATGGAGGGCCAGGCGATGGGTGACCCTGAAGATGCTCCAGACCCATCCCTAAACCTTTCAGGTAGGATTAACATCTATCTTCTCTGTGCCCTGATTAAACCTAGAATGTGGCACTTGCCTGATGTCATTTGTCTCTCCTATTTTAGAAAGGCAGGATAGGGCAAGTGCTCTGAAGCCAGAACATCTAGGTTTGAATTACAAATCTTAACTTCGTCACTTACTGGCTGAGTAACCTTGGGCAAGTTTTTTAATCTCTTTGTGCATCAGTGTCCTCACATATACCATCATATATATAATGATGGTATCTAACTAATAGGATTATTTTGAAGATTAAAACAGATAACACACACCAAAACTTGACACACAGAAAACACTACATTTGCTATTATCATGATAACATTATAATCTTTTCCTTTTTTGTTGTCCCAGTCCCTAGAACAGTGCCTGAACACAAGTGGCACCCAATAAATGTCTCTGTGAATAAATGAAGGAAGGATTTATAGACACACAAGAGACTGTGGTAATAGTGGGGAGAGGTGGCTTTGGGAAAAAGTAAATGAGATGAAACAGGCTCTGTGGAGGGTCCCTGATTCCAACAGCTGAAAGGCCCTCACCCAGTCTCTGAGTCCTGTCCTTGCACCTCACCTGCAGTGGGTTCTTGGTGCTGATCGCTAGGACCTGGTACTTGAAGTAGCAGAGTTCACAGCTCCAGGAGCCCCTCTCACTGATCCAGCGGATGAGGCAGGGCTGGTGTGTGCAGCGCACTGAGCCGTCGCAGCGGCAGGGGCTCAAGAGCTCCCCCTGGAGGAAGAGTGGGGAGGGGCCGTGTCAGCCATCACCACCCCGACCCCATTCCACCGCGCTCCCTGGGAGGGAAACCTCCTCCTCGGGACATCCTCCCACCTTAAAAAACTCAGGCCTTTCACCACAAACAGGGCAAGAGGCTAAGGCTGCAGCAGAAAAGAAAGAAGTTATAGATCAAAGGAAACGTCCCATACTAAAGAGATGGAGAGGGATGGAAAGGGATGGGGGGTGGGAAGGGGGAGGACTGGTCTCGTTTACAAGAATTCGGGAAGGGTGGTCTTTAAGGCTTCTCAGAGGAAAAGCTTTCCCTTAGGATCCAAGGGAGGGGAGGGTCAGAGCTTCTGAGTCATGCCTTCCTTCCCCACCCCATCATTGTAAAGTTATTACATAGATCTGGTGCAGACTGGGATGGGTTACCGTCCACGCGTTCCAGAGATTAAAAAGGGGAGAAATCCTGGGGGTGGTAGTGGAGGATGTTTCCCTTGAACCAAGGAATCATTTCTCACTACAGAGACACCCTTGGCACAATTCCGGGACAACTTTGCCCATAAAATTTTAACAAAGAATGCTCTTTGGAACGAGATAGAAAGTTGCAGAATGGGAAGTGAAGAAAAGTGCCCCACAGGGAGAAATACTGAGTGAGGCAAGGGCGCCGGCTGGGCCCCACCCTTCAAGGTGGGAACAGAAGCATTCTCCTTTCTGCCCACCTCCAAGAGAACAGGGCCCCTCAGCCTATGGCGACCCAAGGGTGAGAGAAACAGGAGGGAACAGCTGTCCCTGTTAATGAGTGAGAGGGATTTTGAGCCCTCCCAGGAGAAAGCCCCACACCTTTCTGGGGACCCCTAACCCCCCAACACAAATAAGCGCTTCAGGTGTCTCCAGCTAGGCCCCCAACCTCACCCCATTCCCACTCTGGGTCCTGAGTCCCGCCCAACCTCCTTAGGCCCCGCCCCCTGTTCGCGGTCTCCCCGGACACCCCAGGTGTGCGCCCCCACCCCTCCCCGCCCGGCCAGGTGCCCAGGCCTGACCTGCTCCGGGCCCTGGAAGCAGATCCGGCACTGGGGGGTTCGGAGCCCGCTGTCCAGGCTGCTGCTGAGCGACAGGGCGTCCAGCGCGCCCGGGGGCGGCAGCGGCGGCGCGGGAGGCGGCGGGGGTCCGGCTCGCGGCTCCTTGTCGCCGGCCAGGCCCCGAGCCCGCGGCTCCGACCCGTAGTACTCCTCCTCGTCGCCGTCGCCGTCCCGGGTGGAGCAGCCGGCGAAGGGCGCCCAGCCGCAGCCGCCTCCCCCGCCCCCCCGGGGCTGCGGCTCGGCCCGGGGCCGCCCCCCGCCCGTCAGCACCAGCAGCTTCAGCTCGTTCAGGAACATGCGGAGCCGAGACTTGAGCATCGTCCGGGCGCCGGGGGGCGGGGGGCGGCGTGCAAGGGGGGCTCTCGGGCGGCGAGGGGAGGGGAGAGGACAAGGCCGGGAAGGGGGCGCGCGCTGTAGAGCCAAGCCAGGCCGGGGTCTTCGGGGCCTGCGACCGCCGTTCACTGCTGCCACCGCCGGGGCTCCGGGGCTCGCGGGGCCGAGAGGGCTGGCGGCCCGGGGGCAGCGGGGTGGGCAGCCATAGCCAGGGCAGGGGGCGGGAAGCGGGGCTCAGGGTGCCGCGCCCCGCGGGTCCGGGTCCAGAGCGGGCCGGGCCCGGGGGGTTACGCGCCCGGGTCCTCCTGCGGCGGGGCCGCCCCCCATCGCCGTTCTCCGGGTCCCAGTCCCGCTCCGGCTCCGGGATCCGGCTTGGCTCGGCCCGTGCGCTCGGCGGTGGCAAATGGCGGCTCCTTCCGGCGGCGGCGGCGGCGGCGGAGACCCCCCCGGAGCGGCGGGCGGGCGGGGCGGGAGCCGGGGAGCCGGTGAGGAATGGAGGGAGGGGCGGGGCGGGGAGGGGGAGAGGAGAAGGGGCCGCGGCTGCGCATCCCCGCCCTGCCCCGCACGAGCAGGTGTCCCCAGGGGCGGGGGCAAGTGTGCGAGCCCGCGGAGGGTGGAGGAAGGGGAGTGGCCAAGGAAGGGGAGTGTGCACACACACGGGTAGGAGAATAGGTGTGTGTTTGGGGGTGGGAGGGTGAACGGGTGCTGATGGAAGGTGAATGGTCAAAGGACGCAGGTGTATCAGGGAGGTTGAGACTTGTGCAAAATGGAAGTGCACAAAGACAGAGCTGTACAAGGGTCGGAGGTGTGAGGGAGGTGAGTGGGCAAGTGATGCACTCAAGAAATGTACATATTAACACAAAAGACTGAACAGTGTGCGTGGTGTGGGACTGTGGAAAAGAAGTGACTGTATAAGGAATGGAATCGGACTGTATGAGAAACAGAGCGTGTGATTGTAACGTGTGAGGAAGATGAGTGAGCAAGGGAGATAGGTGTGCTAAACGGATGAGAGTGTCTTTCCTGGTACTCTCCTGCTCTCACCTCCATCCACTACACTGAAGTGAACACCACACACACACATGCTTAGCTCTTTGCTTTTATAGGGCCTTAGCCCTGAGAATAAGTTCTACCTCTATCACATTTTTTTTTTCTGTCTTACATCCTCCCTCTCCTCCCCTTTGCAAAGCTGAGGGAAAAGGGATTCCAGGGGATCCCATTGGGTCAAATACACCGGGAAAAAATTAATTAGAAAAGAGTAATTAACAGGAGAAGGGAGGGGATGGAGCCTGGGACAGACTGCCAAATTCAGGCTCCTCAATAGAAAGTGATGCAGAAGAGACACTAATGTTCTTATGAAACATTCAAATATTTTGGACGGATGAATGAATGAATCAGAAAAAGGGGCTGGGAACCAAACAGGCATAGAGGATGGTTTCTGTTGTAAAGACAGTAAACTGTAGTAGGCTTATGTGAAAGGTGAGGCTGAAGTGGGGACTGCTGGTGTAGGAAGGGAGTTTGACAAACTCACAGACACTTATCTTAGCCTTCCAGAAGGTTTACAAACCAACCAGCCTTAGCAAAGTAGCCAATAAAACATTTACCTCTTGAGCCCCTTAGCTAGTTCAGCGCTTGAGGTTTTTCTTACTAGAATCCCAGCTGCCCTTGCTAGCAAAGACCCAGAGCTGTATCAGAATGGAAAGAGGAGAATATGTACTGACATGTCTTTCATTTTGCCCAGAAATTCATCTTCTAGTCTGAACTCTTATATTCTCAGCCAGATGGTTAAGAAGAATAGAAGTTAGGGTGGAAGGAGTGACAAACAGAGAGAATTGGTTGAGCCCAGGAGTTCATGACCAGGCTGGGCAACACAGCGTGACTCTGTCTCAAAAAAATTATTTCAGGTTTTAAACAATCTGTCATAAATGAGACACTGACCCCTTCCCTCCCTTACACCCATACCCCCAAATGGCTGGGAAAGATGGAGCCAATCAGACAAAGGAAGTCACAGAAACCTACCTGTGTGTCTACCTAGGTGTCTGTGGGCAGAGGCCATTTGGGGAAAGTTGTGTTCTGGATAGGGATAAGGGCTAAAAAAGCTACACTAAGGGAAAAGAGGGAAGCACAAGGACCCCAAATGAATCACAAAGTTTGCAGAAGGGCACGAGTCATTCTCATGCAATGTGGTGGTGGGGGTGAGGGGTGTTTAACTTCTTTGTACGTGCTCACTCCTATATATATCCATCTGTCTATATCTGACGTGTATAATATCATATGAATACATATACGTGTATACATACACACGTACCAATATCATAGAATCTTAGTTCTGAAAAAAATCTTTAAAGGTCAAGTATTCCTGTCTCTTCGTCAATAACTTCTCTGTCAGATGGTATCAGGTCTCCGTGGGTTTTTTCCCCCCATAACTATTCTTTCTATGGCATCAGGTTTCTGCTTTAACATTCCAGCGAGATTTGGAAGTTGGGAAGAGGGAGGGCATTATCTTGTCATTCTTTGGATTACTGTATTAATTTGCCTTCCATCCTTTATTCCTAGTTTTGCCCTCGAATGGGCATTGTCTACCGCCTATTTTATAAAACCACATCGTTGACTACATCTTTATAGACAGCCGCACCACTATATTAAAGGACTAGTGACTGAGACACCAAAAAACAAAACTAAACAAAATTAAAACCCCACGTACATACTGGAAGCAAGCACTCAGTACAGTTTTGCAGAATGAATGAGTGAAACAAAGGCACAAACGTGAATATGTTCTTCCGTGGTGGTGGAGCGAAAAGGTGACAGCACCACCTCTGATACCCCGACCCCCCCCCCCGCCCTTCACCAATATAGAGAGACTGAATGACAAGTAGTGAGACTGGAGATGCGCTCAGGCTCGACTTTCAGCCAAGAGTCGGGATCTGGGTGGCCCAGGTTACCATGGCACCGCCTTGTGCTCCACCCTCTCTCGCCTCCCCAACCCCGCCCCACTCCAAGCCAGGGTTATGGCAGCCAGTCACGTGCCCCGCGGAGTAGCCACACCTCTGCTCCTGAGAGCAATGTCAAGTGGTCACGTGTGATAGCAACACGTCATGTGACTGCCATCGCCCCTCCGCCCCCTTATCCTCACTGCCCCCTCCCCGTCAAAGCGACTCCGGCGCAAGGGTGGCAGTCACGTGCCCCAAACGTCCGGCGTTCGCCCCGCCCTGCCAGTTTCCGCGCGCCTCTTTGGCAGCTGGTCACATGGTGAGGGTGGGGGTGAGGGGGCCTCTCTAGCCTGCGGCCTGTGTCTATGGTCGGGCCCGTGGCGTCCAGCTGCCCCGGACCGAGCTCGGGTGTATGGCACCGAAGGAACTGGCTCCGGGGCCCCGATAACGGGCCGCCCCCGCAGCTCCCGGCCTGGCGTTAGGTAAGTGCAGCCCCTTCCCAGGAATGAGGACAGTCCCCGCCCCCCACGGTTTCCCACGCGTGCGCTTCTCGGGCTGGTTATGGAAGAGTCGCTCAACGGCGGGAAGTGGGGCCTTTGTGGTTGTGAGGAGGTGTAGTTTTAGAGACTGGGCTGTAGGATCTGCGATGCAAGGCGTGTGTCATATGTGATCTCCTTTGTGCGGGGGGCGATGGTCCCAAAGAAAAGGCATTTTTCTAGGGCCTCACGTGGCTAGAGAGTTTGGTATTAGCGTCATTGTGTTATCTCTGGAGCCAGCCCCATGGAAGGTTGGGAGGGGATGGGATGCTGGTGGTGGTGTCTTTGTGCTGTCTTTTGTGGGAGTCACCTTGTTGCTGCAGGCTCATACCATCCTAACTCTGGAAGGGAATTTTGGTGGTAGGAATCTCTGTGATTGTAGGACCTCCCCTGATCTGAGAATGGCTACCTCTCGATATGAGCCAGTGGCTGAAATTGGCGTCGGTGCCTATGGGACGGTGTACAAGGCCCGTGATCCCCACAGTGGCCACTTTGTGGCCCTCAAGAGTGTAAGAGTGCCCAATGGAGGAGGAGCTGGAGGGGGCCTTCCCATCAGCACAGTTCGAGAGGTGGCCTTACTAAGGCGGCTGGAGGCTTTTGAGCACCCCAATGTTGTTCGGTGAGAAGGTGGTGGAGGGTTGGGAGTGGGAAGTAAAGGGGAAAAGGAGAGAAGTGGGGACCCTGAGGAAATGTGGGAGGCCATGTTGAGTCAAAGAGGATTGACCAGTGAGTGACCATTTATTCTGGCCAGGCTGATGGATGTCTGTGCCACATCCCGAACTGACCGGGAGATCAAGGTAACCCTGGTGTTTGAGCACATTGACCAAGACCTAAGAACTTATCTGGACAAGGCACCCCCACCAGGCTTGCCAGCGGAGACCATCAAGGTAAGGGGGGTGGGTAGATAACTGAGAGGTGGATTGGGACCTTCGTAGTAGAACCTGTTGGGGTTTTGGGTATAGTGCATCTGTACCTCCCCTTTCCAAACTAGGATCTGATGTGCCAGTTTCTAAGAGGCCTAGATTTCCTGCATGCCAATTGCATCGTTCACCGAGATCTGAAGCCAGAAAACATTCTAGTGACAAGTGGTGGGACAGTCAAGCTGGCTGACTTTGGCCTGGCCAGAATCTACAGCTACCAGATGGCACTTACACCTGTGGTCAGTAAAAAGATGGTAGCCAAAATGGGTTCTGATTGGGGGTAGGAGAGTGATTGCCCATAGCAATTGAGAAGTCACGTGCTTCATGTCTTCAGTCAAGCAGTTACCTTATGGTAACCCATGGGGCCTCATCCACTCTTCCTATTTCCTTTAGGTTGTTACACTCTGGTACCGAGCTCCAGAAGTTCTTCTGCAGTCTACATACGCAACACCTGTGGACATGTGGAGCGTTGGCTGTATCTTTGCAGAGATGTTTCGTCGAAAGTATGGGATCCAAGTTCCCTGGACCACCTTGAATTCCCCAAATCTCTTATTCCTAAAACCACATCCACACCCTGCCAGTTCTTTTACTTGAGTACCACTGACCACCTTGCCCATAACCAGAAGCTCTGAAATGTTCTGGAATTAGGAACTTCATATCCCTTTATTCTCCATATTCTCTATTTTGAGTCACTAAGCAGTAACCATTCATCCAAGATATCTTTGAAAATGACTGCCACCTTGTGTCCTTTCTTACCTTAGGCCTCTCTTCTGTGGAAACTCTGAAGCTGACCAGTTGGGCAAAATCTTTGAGTAAGTGACCAGCAAGGGGGACGAATTTTCCCCTCTGAATGAATCCTCTTTCTGCTGAGCCCTGGTGGCAGCTGGCTTTGCTTGTGGGGATAGGGCCTAGAGAAGGACCCTCCTCACCAGGGTTCTGCTGTCCCCTGTAGCCTGATTGGGCTGCCTCCAGAGGACGACTGGCCCAGAGATGTCTCTCTACCCCGAGGTGCCTTTCCCCCAAGAGGTCCCCGCCCGGTACAGTCGGTGGTGCCTGAGATGGAGGAGTCTGGAGCACAGCTGCTGCTGGTACTGGGCATGGGCATGGGCATGGGCATGGGCGTGGGCATAGGGTGAGACTGGGGTAAGAAACAGAGCAGTACATAAGGGCCCAGACCATTGTGGTTACGTAGACTTAGTTGATAGTTGGGCTGAAGTTTTTATTGCAGCAGTAAATGGCCATCCACAGAGGGATATAGAAGAGAGCCCATCCCAGATATGGGGGTGGGCAGAAGTCTTTTTTTTTTTCCTTCATGGTTTTCTGACATTTGCTTACCCCCTCAGGAAATGCTGACTTTTAACCCACACAAGCGAATTTCTGCCTTCCGAGCTCTGCAGCACTCTTATCTACGTAAGGATGAAGGTAATCCAGAGTGAGCAATGGAGTGGCTGCCTCAAAAGGAAGTGAAGCTGTCATTTCCCTTCTGGACACTTGAGTGGAGAGAACCCCACTGAGAAGGCAATCTCTGCCTTGATCTCCGAGGCTGTGGAGACTCCTCTTCCAACTTTTTACAGAGAGTATTTTGCTGCCTTAATGACATTCCCCTCCTGCCTCTCCTTTTGAGGTTTCTCCTCCTACCCCCTATTTCTTTACACTAAGGGGTATATCCCTTCTTGTCCTCCACCCTACCTTGATATTAGGGTCCTTTTTTATACAGGAAAAACAAAACAAAACAAAGAAATATGGTCTTTTTTTTTTTTAATGTCTTGCTTTGCCATTGGGAGATTTGGAAAAATCACTTGGAGGAAGGAACTTCCTTGCAAAACCTTAAGGATTCCTTAAGTTACAGGGTCTAGGCAGTCAGTGGAGCCCCTTGACTGGCAAAGATTAGAAAGGGACTTAAGTTGCTTCTTTGAATATGGGGTTAAAATGGTTTTTATTTTTATATTCACTGAACTTTCTCAAACTGGGTCTTGCTTATTACAAGAAAGAGTTCTTGGTGATTTTTCTCCTTGGCTCTATCTCCAGTTTGCCCTTGGAGTCAGACCAGGGTATGTTGAGGTGTTCCAGCATGTAGAAGGGGGAAGAGGGGAAATAGGAATGACTCCAGCCCCATCCCATGTACTCCCAGAAGCTTCCCATATTCCCTTGGGGAGAGAGGGAGGAAGTTTTTCTTCCTATAATCTGGCTCCCACCAAAATATGTCAAGGCATAAAGTCTCACTGTTCAATCAGTTTTAGGGGATGTGGCAAAGGGCCTTTCCTTTTTCTCAGACAAAAAAGGGCTATAGACCCTAGGTTTTCCCTAAGGGAGGAAGAAAAAGCTTAGGCAGAGCACGAGAGAAGTCAGAAGGATCCAAAGTCTTATAGGAAGGCACTGGGGTTGGCTCTAGGATCCTTCTGATTCCGAAATCTCATTGCTAGCCAAACACCAAGGATCTGTAGGAACAAAGGGAGAGAGATAAGCACCAATCAATTCTCAGTCTCTGGAGTTAAAACTTGTAGAGAAAGGGTATACATGAAGGAATGGGAGAATGTTACCTCTGTAAAGCTAAAGAAGAGTCCAACACCCCCCAGGATTTTCAGCGCTTCATCTGAATGCTTAAGAAACTTTTCTCCACACATCTGGCATGTGGGGCTCTGGCTCTTGCAGATCTGAAGATAAAATGTGCATGTGGAGAATGTAAAGTTGCTATTCACCAATATGTATGGTGAATGTCCACAGGAATTATTTACTATTATCTGACCAGTCCTAGAGACTAAAATCCCACTTGGCTAATTCTCCAGCCTCTGTATTCAGCCCCCAGCACACAGCCCCATTACAAGAGAGCTGCTAAAGAAGCATTGACATTAAAACCAAACTTGCCAGCTTGGACATTCTTTGCCCACTTTTCCCCCTCCCCCTGCGGCTGCACTGCCTCCTTCGACCCCCCCCCCCAACTCACTGCAGTGCAGAAATCATAATCTTGTTGATAGAGGGTTGTGAAGTTGAATAAGCCACAACAATCAAAACTTCTTTCCAGTTCATCCCGAGTCTTGTTACTCATGACCCACCAAGAAGCATTGATGACATCTGTCTGGAGGATGAAGGCAGAGGGAAATTAGTCTCCCTACATCCTGATCTCAGTTTAAGTGCCTCAATTTCCCTTTTCCAGCAAAGGGAGTCAACATCCCTCAGAAGCACATGCTGCTGAAATTATAGACACAATGATAAATATCCACCTTCTCAGGTTCTCCCTCTAGATCATCTTCATGAAAAATTAACCAAACACCCCAGAGGAAGCAAATGACTCAAGTCTGGAAGTAGTGGACCTGAGGATGACATTTAGATAGTTGGGGCCAGACTCAGAGGAAGGAGCTAGAGGCTAATGAAAACAAAAAGGCGGGGGCGGGGGGAGGTAAAAGGGTATCCCCTTACCTGTTTGCTTCGGTTAATAGCCAGACATGAGCAAGAGATTCCAAACTGGAAGATGAAGACCAAACCAAGGATGATCATGTACTGAGAGTAAGAGTTATGGAAAAAAAAAAAAAGTCTTAGATTCCTTTATGTGCTATCTATAATAACCATCTGGTCTCCTCATAGAACTTCGAGTTGCAAATAAAATCACCAGCTCTTGTTTCATAGATTATGGTACAGGGCAGGGCAGAGAGATGTCCCCGGGGTCCCTGAAATCCTATACCCTTCTGACTCAACCCTCCCAGAAGCCTGGATGCCCCCAACACTTCAGTTCAGGATACAAAGAATAGCAGGACTTGGTGGTGGTTGACAGCACCCACCAGTCCAGCCACTGCGATAAGGAGAAGGAAGACTCCCACAGCAATGACTCCTCCGATGATGTGGATGCTGGACACCAGACCCAGGCCCTTACCCCAGGCAGCCACTCCAATGAGCAACAAGCCCACCAGCTACAGGAAACAGAGCAGGATACATTCAATTCTAATGTGCAGTACAGCCAAAGGCCATTACAAGGGGGCTTGGGCAAAAAAAAAAAAGAATTGAGTGGTTTGTGAATGGGGGATGGGGATGGTGCTATGGGAGCCAAGAGCATCCCTGAGCGCTCCTCCCAAAGGAGGTCAGAATGGCTGGGGTGGCGGGCAGGGGATGGCAGGGATGATAGAGTGTCTCAATATAAAAAAGACCCTTAGCATCACTCCATCACTTCTCTATATTTTGGGAGAAACAGGTTCACAGGAGGGAGGGATGGGACTTTATGCTCACAGCCTTCGGTTCATTCCCCTCACTCCCAAACAAACCCCCTCATCACCGGAAGTCTCCCCTCTTCCACGGAAGTCCCCAGGAATTCCCTCTTCGCCGGAAGTTCCTGGGAATCTTCCCGGAACCCTCAGTACACCCCTCTCCCCACAGGAAGTCCCCTGGAGATTCTCCCCACTCGTCTTTCCGCCCTGAAGCTTCCCCCACCTCCAGAACCTCACCATGTAGACCACGTTGAGAGCGCAAAGCGCATTCTTGGAGCAGGCAAATCCGCCGCAAACCATCTCCCCAGCTCTGGGGACCTAAGTGGTCCCAAGGACTTGGGGAGAGGGTATTGGGGACTGTCTTCTAGGACCCCGACAGCTTCTGTCTCTTTAAATCGAAGCCAGCCAAACCCAATACTCTGCGCCTGCACCGTCCCACCCCTGCTTTTGGATTGGCGAAACTCGTGGCTAATCCAGGTCGTCGATGGCCTAAACCCCAATCAATCTGTAGTACGTCACTGACCCGCCTCCTGGCCCCTTTAGGTTCTTCATTGGATGAAACTGAAAATTAGGGGCAGGGTTTCCAGAGATTTTCATAAGGACCGGTGCCTAAACTCCAAAGACCCGGATTGAAAACGGAGCTTTCTGTGGTCTGAGCTGAGAGAGGACTAATCCGAGGGAGGAGGCTCTGGAGAAGCTCAGGTGAAGAGAGAGACGGAGGCCGGGGACGGGGTGGGGGGGCGGAACTAGGCGGAAAGGCTCCTCCCCTCGAAGGAGGGCCCTTCTCCGCCCCTTTCCCTTCGTCCTGCAGTGACCTCATGATGACGCCATCGTTTTGTTGTTATTGCATCACACTACAGAACAGTCAGAGGAGCCAAATATTGAGCTATTTAGCCCGGCTACGGAGGCCCCTGGTTGGGCACGGCAACCCTCAGCAAATCCTCACACGTTTATGTGTCCACTGGTATACATGCTGTGTCCCATATCCCCTTCTAACGGGGTGTGACTATGCCGGAAATTCAGTGTGGAAAACACAGCCTGAGGCTGGCGCACATCTGTATGTTACAATGCCCCAGGTGCACACACGGTGCTCAACATCTTCGGAGAACATGCCTGATCCAGAGCTTGCAAAAAATGACAAAGGGAGGAGTCTGGGATGTGAATAAATGAGGGGAAGGAGAAGTCTGCATATTTTCACTCGGTGGTGGGTTGATCCATAACTGTTATTAAGTGCTTTGACACAGCGTCCTTTTCATGAGGGCGAGGAAAGACAGAATTCCCCTCTCCCGTAGGAGAAAAAAGAGTATTAGTAGGAACAAAAAACTAAACCTCCAGTCAACCGCACAGGATGATTTAAGTTTGTGTGTTCGTAGATTCTATGACTGCCTAAGTAGTATAGTCTTAAGACTAGTCAGACTGCATGGGTTCCAACTTTGCCACTTACTAGCTGTGTATCCTTTGGCCAAGTACTTAAACTCTCTGTGACTGCTTCCTCATCTGTAAAATGAGGATAAATAACAACATACCTACTTCTTGGTTGGTTAATGTATGTAAAGTGCTTAGAACAGTACCTGGCACATGGTAAACACTTAATCTTAGTTTTTACTGTTCATGCCATTTTACAGATTCCAGTGGGTAATCCCAACCTCAATTCCTTCATCTCCAACTACACAGATATTCACATAGTTATAATCTCCTGTCCTTCATAAATTAGTATCTAGAAGATATATAGGAAAAGAGACACTTGGCCAGGCCAGAGAGGTTTGAGTCTTGAAACAAAGTAATTAGGTTCGAACTACCCACCACCTCCAACCTCCCACTCCTTTGCTCCCAGTCCCAGCCCCTTTCCACCTGCAACCCCCATCTTTATTCTCTCCTTCATTTCCTCATCCGCCCTCTTCTCTTTCCCATCCTAAAGCAAGGGCAGGACAGTGGTATTAGGGAGAAGGGGAACCAGCTGACAAGCATCTTGGTTGTGTGGTGTAGTGAAAAGGGTACCAATATTCTAATCAGAAGATCTGGATCCATGTCTTTGACCTCTTACTAGCTAGCCTCTTTGAGCTTCAGTTTCCTTTTATGCAGAATAGAGATAAATAATCCTACCCCTCAGGCCTGTCATGAGGATAATATATATGAAAGTGTGTTGTAAACTATTAAATGTTATAGACATGTTAATTATTATGAAAGTAATTGAACATGCAACATGGGGGTTTTATCTTGGGCCTCTTAAACAGGTGGTCACAGTGGGTCACTAACCGAGGAAGGGTTATGTTGCAGGGCACATTGAGCTGTGTAGACAGGCTGGTGAGTTCAAGTGTGTACTAGAATGCAGGGCTTTGAGGGTGACAGACCAAATATGTGTGGATTCCTGTGAGAGTTTCAGACAACACAAATCTGCAGGTCACCAAGAGTTTGGGATTGCACCTGGGACCTGGCTCACCATGCTTTCCCGGAACCAACACCCATTTTAATTAACCACCTCCCACAGGAGGCCCTGGGCAGGATGCTTGTTAAGGTCTCTCCATCCACCTGGCTGGGAAATCCTAGCAGGGGCTGGCTGGCAGGGCTGATGGGCCAACACTAGGGGGGGTGTGAGGTACAGGAGGCAGAGCTGTCCCAGGCTGTGGGTTTGAAACTCACCAGTCAGGAAGTGAGGCCGACAGACAGACGGAAGGGCGGGCAGGGGCGGGGAGTTCTGGGGCACAGCAGAAGGGGCCTTCTGGGGTTCGGGGGCTGCAGGGCCATGGGCTTCAGGGCCAGAGGTTGCTGGTAGCCTGGCAAGACAGGTCTGGGCAACATGCATGCCCAGAGGCAGTTGGCTGTAGCCTCAGTGAGAGCAGAAGTCAGGCGACATGAGGTGGCCAAGCAAGCTCTAAGCCGCCTCAGGAAGCTGGCAGAGAGGGTGGACAACACCGAACTTCGGAACAGCATCCAGGCCTCACTGGACAGCATACGAGGTAAGAGAAGGGTCAATCTCCAATTTGGGTGTATTGGGGACCAGCAGGAGCAAAGAAGGGTTAGCTGTGTCATATATCACTTCCCAATCAGCTACTTCCTAGTCTCCAAGATGGAACTGGGACTCTGGGGAAGAATACATTTGGGGAAGATGGAAAAAGACATGGGAGGTGTCATTCTTCCTTTTTCCCCAACTCTGATCCTTTTCCCAGGAGATCAAAATACAGGTCACTGTTGAGCTGACCTTGGCAATGGAGAAGTGGGTGAGCATGGGGAAGACGGGCTGTGACAGACCAATGGTGGACTCTGTCCCTGCCTGAGGAGTCCAGAGAAGGAAGTAGTCTGGGGCAGAAGGTTCTGGGACTGGATAATGTGTTCATTCCCAGGACCCACTAAGGATCAGTGACCTCTTGTTCTCCAGCTGTAGAGAGAAACACACACACACACACACACACACACACACACACACACACTGAAATACAGCACAGAGAATCTCAGGCTATCAGGCACACACTAACACTCACACACCATGGACTGCAGAGCTGAAGTATGGAGAAGTCCCCAGGACTCTTCTTGGTCCCCTCTCTTCCCCTTGCTCCTGTTCCGGTCTTCCCCCCACACACCTTCCGCTCTACGTCCTTAGTGCCATTAGAGCAAGTGATGACAACACACGGAGGAAGTGCTGCCATGGCAACACCATCCGCCACATCCTCCTGCACACCCTAGCTTTCAGTCCTGTGGTGGGGCCGTGGCAGGAACAGCTTCTCTCCATCCACAAGGCCCCACTGCTGAGGAACTGGTGGAACTGGGGGTCATTTCCAGCTTGCTGTCTTCTCATTCACCTCTGAGGTAGCACAGAGCTAACAATAGCAGGTTTCTCTGCTCATGAAAGGTGTCTGGTAGAAGCACATCATCCATCTCCATTCTCAGCTGCCTATGGGTGAGGGGATAGGGGGATCAAGAAACCATTCTTTCCATCAAGGACACCTCCTGCTAGACCTCTCTGCTAGTAGAGGCCACCAGAGCATAACTTGGGGAAGGAAAGGCTCCTTGGGATTCCTAGTGGGACAGTCTGATCCCTTCCCATTGCCCTTCTGAGTCTAGTGCCACTCTCACCTCCAGTTCCTCCACTCTTTGCCCGTAACTACACCTGAAACCTTCCGTGACAGCCTTAGTGGTTGGAAAGGCAGACCTGGGGGAGTGGCCCATGGGGCCTCCTAGGGAGAAATTCTAAGCCCCACCCCTGTTTAAAAAAAAAAAAGGAGGAGGAGAGAGGTGCAGGCCAGGTAGAAAAGCTCTGCTTAGCTCTGAAGAAGGAGGTAGTGAGAAGGGGTGGAGGCGGTAATCTCTGAGAAGTCTCCGCTTCTTGCAAGTGATTTATTCTACTCCTTCCCTGAGAGTTGGGATTCTGTTCCCACTGAACATAAAGGAAAACTGAGGCCATCGAAGGACTGAAGATTAAGCCAGAGCCAACAATTCTCCTTCACCCTCTCCTTCAAAGAGGACTACTAAGGGGTTCTCCTGTCCTAGGATGGTGTCATCCTGATTCTGCGGAGAGGGAGGGAGAAGCTGCTGACACCAGGGGACAGAACCATGGAGGGATTGGGTACAGGCCTCTGGGAGAACAAAGGGCTCCCAGCATCCTGGTTCAGCACCCCCCCACCCTCACCCCCCACCAGGCCGAGCATGCTGGCTCCTGCCTCCAAGAGCCGCCCACGGCAGCACTTATTATAGTCTCAGCTGCGTCAGGAGGGTGGGACGCCAAATCAGGGGACTGCTGAGACTCCCCAAGTCCTGGGGAGAGGTCTCCAAGGCTGCGGAGAGACCTCTCCCTCCCATCTCACCCTACCCCCAAGGGGTCTCAGCCTCACTTCCACATTGGCCTTACTGGTTCCTGACTGGAGGATAGAGAGCCTTGAACTCCAAGGCCCTAGAAGAGTGGAGGACACAGAGCAGACAGTTTCCATTCAGTCTGCCTACCTCCTCTTTAACCTTCTAAAAAGAGTCCCACCCAGCAAACCTCAGGAGACTGAATGGGAACCCAAAAGAAGCTGGCTGGCGCTGCCTCAACTGAAGGGTCCTTATATTCAGGGAGTGAAATCTCCCACACATGGGTAACCAGGTGTGAGGGTGGTGCCTCCACAAACCCAACATCCCCAGCCAGTCCCCCACCCACCATACACACAGATCCTTCCTCTCTGCTTATTCCCGCTGTTTCTGAGGCACTATTGGAGCTACAGTTGCTATGGAGACTGGATGCATTTTGGTATGGGGGTATCAATCTTACAGGCACTCCTTCTCCCTTCACCTGGAACTGGAGCCTTTGACTCACCCTGTGGCCTGGGCTCCTCCACCCCCTCCCCCAGGCACACCATCTCCTTCCTACCCTGCTAAGTTCCATGTTTGTCTCCATCCCTGGGGAACACTTTCCAAGTTCACTTTAGGACAACTGGGCTCAAGTCGTGACCCCATCAAAGTATCAAGTGTGGGGGTGTGGGTGGGAAAGGGAGCTGGGTCATGAGAAATGGAAAGTGTTTAGGTACCTAGCAGAGACAAGGGGTCCCCGGAAAAGGATTTCAGGGCCCCTTACTTTCCCACTTCAGCTTCTGCAGA